CCAACCCACCCCAACCCGCCCCAAAACACACCCCGACAAACCGACCGACCAAACCCACCCTACCCAACCCAACGTAACCCAACCCAACCTTGCCCAACTTAGTACTCAACCCAACTCGACCGACCGACCGACTGACCGCGCCACGGCAGCAACGGGATGAAGAATATTTGCAAAGAATGCCAAATGGATGGATGGGTCTATCTTCCCGATGAAAGCTTGTTCTTCCGTTTTCACGGCAGGAACACCGCATCCATATCCATCCTCGACTCTTCTTCTTTTTGTGAAGTTGAAGCTAAAAAGTAGCCTCACCAGGTCTGTCTGCCGTTCGTTCTTGTTACTGTGCTGCATGACTTCGATCTACCTATCTATCAATGATGCGCGAGACGTGTGCTGTATACACGGAGGGGTTCACAGGGAAGGGCCGAGATCTATCAATTAGACTAGCCAGACTTTTGCTAGTCACCGAAGAAAAGACCATCTACCTTCTACTGTACATACAGCAGTACATCGATCATGTGTCCTTTCTTCCCGAATTACTTTTGAACACGGTGAACAGCGCATGATAATGCGGTATGCATCCATCCTCAACTTATCTGTTTCGTAGCCAGAAGCGGCCTAGCCGGGGCTGCTGTTGTTATTACTGCTGTACGATATCTTCCCATCTATCTACATGTATGTCTATCCTGTTTGTGGGAGGCATGTTGCTGTGCAGCAGTATTATTATAGTGCACCGAGAGAACGGATCTTTCTTCCGGCATCAATTGCCTGCACATGAATGATGGCTTCATCCTATCCTAATGTAGACTATGTGTGGGAGGCATGTCATGTCCTGTGTAGGTACACACCGAGAGACCAGGCACATGAAAACCTTTTCGGCGAATCTTTTTCAGTTTTTAAGACATGAACTCTTCTTGTTGTGTAGCCAACGCGGCCTCGTGGGTCTGGTATTGGTTATCATGTTATATATACAAGGGCTCCGGACTTCGGGCGCAGAGGCGCCCTCGTCCTCAGGAGTAGGCTTAAAGGGAAGGTGTGAAGGCTGTCCACTGCATACCAAAGGCATGAAGCCGCAGGGTGACCGAATGAACGGTGTGAAGATGTTCGTGTTGTATTCGAGAAATGTGCCGTTCCCGGTGTAACATGAAGCCAAAAGAGTCGCGTGTACGTGAATTTTTGTCTAGCTTCGCCCGGTGCGAACGAAAACGAGACGTAAGCTACAGTCGCCTCTCTTTTCTTGCGCCGGTAAGAACGTAGCCGTGGAGCTTTACCATCGGAAACTGAAGAGTTTCGTACACTGCACTCCACAGGGGCAGGAACCTAGGCTTGTCGTCCGGACTGTCACGTGGATAAGTTACTACAGCACGTGATAAGCTGTTTTCCTGACCTGATGTGAAGACTAAATAAAGCTGCAATTTCCGGTGCTGAAACTTTTTAACCTTCAACGGGTCCGTCGTTTGTTCGGCTGACGTCAGCGAACTCACTGTACGCAGGGTCCGCGGATTCAGCGTGGTGGGCGTTAGGTTGATTAATAATGCTATGTACAGCAGATCGGTATTATTGTTGAGCCCACGGAATACTGTTGTGCACATGCGTTCATGAAGTTGTCGAAATGTTTGCGTCTAATTTAAGGGATGAAATGTTCTGTGTGAATTCAGAATCGTACATGTAAAACCTCGAGTTCTTCGACACGGAATAGTTCTCATAATGAATGTTGTTGGAGGTCGAATGTGCGGTGGTAAGCACGTCCATGCAAGGTGAGCATTGAAGGGGCTGGCGGTTCAGTCCATGTCTTTTTTTGAATACCACCTGCGCCTAATAATGCTGTAAATCCGAAAAGCCCGTTGTACCTTCTTTGAGCAGAAATGAATTTAGTAGTTTCAAAACAACGCCATATGATGGTGGGGGATAGATTTGAGAGGATGGATATAATACGACTTGCTCTTGCTACAACGATTTAGTATTTTTTCTTTTTTCCAAAGTTGAGCATTGCAGTGAGAACATGTGATATTTTGTGGATCATCCAAATCCGTGTGTTTTAGCTCGACAGGCGTGCCGATTGCGAGTCAATGTCTTGCACTCGAAGGCGTATTTGGTTATTAGCACCACCGCGATGGCTGTCTAGACTCGGTGCCGGTAACCTTGGTGCACGATTCCTCATTTGGCTAAAATGTTGACGCATCATATCGAGTTCAGGGTCTGAGTCGTGTGGTGTGTTATTGTTTGCATTGCGACGTCGACGTTCCGTTAACATTCCAGCACGTCTTCGTCTACGAGATCTTGCTAGTTCTGCGTGTTGCGCGTTATCCGCATACGGTGACGTGCTTGAACGCCTTGCCGTCGGTAGAGTTGGCACCAGCGTAAAGACGCCACACCGGGTGGATATTATTCCACTCTGACAACAACAGCAAGCAAAAAGGGCAGCGTTGTGGAGAGATTTAGCGGTTGCGGTTGCGATGCAGTTTCATGTCAGGGCTTCATGCAACACCTGAACAACATTCGGGCACACATGAGGCGGAAATTATTTGATATAATTAAACAAAGAAATGGCACGGCTCGGGGTACGTTGTCGACGGGGTGAGGATGGTGCAGGATACGCTATAACCGTGTCCTCGTCGCGGTTCCAGCAAATATTCAAACTTTTGACTAACTTCCAGCAATTATTCCATGAAACGGTGTGGTATCACGAAAAGTTCATATTTCTTGTTTAACTGTATATATACGATATAGCGCAGTCTACAGCTGCACCTTCAATACAACAACAACAGCAGTACAACAACAGCAGTGTTCACAGTATTACAGAAGACATAAGCCTACAACCTTGCAGCACTTACTTGCAGGAATCGATGATTGATGCCGTGAGATTTGCGTGCATGTTCAAGCTCAAAACAAAGCAAGTTAAGTCTAAAGTTGTGGCGTACCACAACAACAACAATCTACATTTGTCCAATCTTCCTTGCTACAGCTGTAGAAT